CCCCCAGGGTGGCCCCTCGGCTCCCAGGGCCAGCTGTGGTGACGACTCACCAGGATTCTCTTGTAAGGAAATTCCTGTAGCTCCCCGTTCCGGGGGGAGTCGAAGACCACGGGGAAGGTCTTGTGTGGCGCCTGGACATAGCCCAGCTCCATCTCATCCTGCCAACGAGGGGACATGCCCAGCTGTGGACAGCCAGCAGCTCCCCACTTCGCCGTGGGCGCTCTGGGGAAGCCCAGTCTGGGAGGGCAGGGGTCAGGATGCCTGCTGAGTGGAGGAGGGGCTGGAAACTCAGAGAGGGCATGTGCTTGCTTGTGGTCACACAGCAGGGCAGAGGGAATGAGAACATGGACATGACCTTGAGGGTGTCCCAGTATGGGGTCAGGCCAGGGTGGACCCAGAGAGGCCTGAGATGGACTAACAGGCCACTGGGCACAAGTCATGTCCTTTGGCCTTGGGACAGCACCAAGGGCCCTGACAGATGCCTCCTTCTTGGACCTCGAGGGCCAGGTCAGTCCTGACCCCTCTGGTTCTGAAGGCCAAGGTGGCCCAGGGTCCATGACCTGCACGCCCAGGCCTGGCGTCCCTGGTGGCAGACCAGGAAGGTGGGGGACAGAGATGGCTGGTCATTTGCCCGAGGGCCCCAGTGGGGCAGGCTGGCCTCTCCCTGCAGGTGGAGCCCTGGCCAGGCCCGCCCGGGGCCCGCTACCTGGATCCAGCGGTCATTGCGGTTCTCGGTCTGCGGGCACACGGTCAGCTTGCAGCCGGCCTTCCTGGCCAGCTCGGCCACCGCCTCCACGAAACCCGTGTTGTTCCTCACGCTGTGGACGATCCAGGGACAGGGACTGAGAGCCAGGGCCGGCGGGCGGCTGGGAGCCTGGGAACCCGCCGCCCACACTCACCGGCACACGTACACCTCCAGGGGCGGCAGGGTGCTGGGCGTCATGATCCAGGGCGCCACGCGGAACACCACCGTGTCCGTGAAGATGGGGGCCTCCGAGAAGTCCTGTGGGGACCGCGGGGGGGACAGCACAGGTCTGCAGCCGGGAGGGGGGATCTCGCCCGTCCCCTAACAAAGCCCGGCTTCTCCTGGCTGGAGAGGAACCAGCAGCGCGGAGGAGAAGCCTGGGTCCCCGGAGCCCGGGTGTCCCCCCTGTGCCTCTGCCAAGCCCCACCTCATTGGAGCCGTCCAGCAGGGTGACGTGGAAGGACAGCAACCCTGGGAAGCCGGCGTCAGGGAAGCGGAGGCCCTCCACGAAGAAGCGCTCTTCGTCCCCGTGGAGCCGGGGCACCTCGTAGGACACCTTGTCCTGGCCCAGCACGCACTTGTAGGCCCCGCACGAGTCCTCGGGGCCTGGGAGGAGGCGGGCGGCTGTGACCACTGGGGCCTGAGCAGCGGGAGGCCGGGAGGGCCGCAGCCTCACCCCGACGACACAGGGACAGCCCCTGCCCGCCTCTCCCTGGCGAAGGGCGGAGGGGCTGCAGGTGTGACCCCTGGGCCTGCAAGGTCCCCGCTGTGGGCACTCTCCCGGGACCCGAGCCTGCCCAGCTGCCAGGGCGGCCGCCCGGATGGGGCCGCAGGGACTCACCGCAGACGTGGAAGACCCGGGCCCGCCTGGCGTCGGAGCTGGAGGTGTGCAGGACGAGCCTGTGGTCCTCAAAGAGCGCTGCGGGGCCCTGGGTGCGCAGGACCATGAGGGACATGTCTTCCAGGTCTGGGGGCCACACAGAGGGCAGTGACTCAGAGAGGTGCTGGGATCCTCTGCACCTCCTGTCCCGGCCACCTCGTCCCCAGGACAGTGAGCGCTAGGACTCAGGTGTCCCAGCTGTGGAAACACCGGAAGCCACCACAAGGGCACCACGGAGCCGTGTGACAGAGTGACATGTGGTGCTACTGTGAGTCCTGTTGGGCCCCCGTTTCCTCATCTGCCCAGAGATGTGACATGCAGAGCCGCCAGCCCCGTGCCTGGCCTGGAGAGGGCAGAGGCCACCCGGCAGCCACACAGGTGGGCTGTAAGGCTGGGCAGGACCCTCCCCCCGGGCCTCTGCGTTCCCATCTCCAGTGGCCCCTAGAAGCATCTCATGTGGGAGCACTGGCCACCCCCACCCCAGGTTGTCCCTGCCTGGTCCCTCTGGTTGCTGTGGTCCGAGTGGACCTGGCAGAGCAGGCGCCCCTGAGTGAGGGTCAGAGGTCCGGGGTGGGGTCTGGATCAGGGGCTGGAGGGGGAAACCTTGGACCAAGCAGAGGGAGGCTGGGAGCCTCCTGGCTTCTGGGCCTCATCTCTGGGTTGGGATGGTGACACCCTCCCTCCTGATGACCAGACAAGATACGTGAGAAGGGCAGGGCATACAGTAGGTACTCAAACAATGCCGCATCCTTTGGTCCCCTGGAGGAAGGGGAAAGCAGGGTGGATCATTTCCAGAGGTTCTGCAGCAACGGGAGTGCCACTGGCTCTGGGGACACCAGAGAGACACGGCGCCAGCCTGAGGCGGGTTTTGAGCAACGCCACGGTGTGCCCAGGGTGGCCACTCCGGCCCCCAGTTCTGCCACCAGAGCCCCACCTGGGGGTTGCCCAGAACCCAGGGCATCTGAGCCGTGACCTGGACGAACAGGGGCCCAGCTGCCCGGCCCCCACCTTGTAGGCAGCCCACGTGCTGGTCATAGTTGTCCTGGACATTGCTGCTGGGGTCGTCCCTGTCACAGTTCACCAGCAAGATGGCTCCATGCCCTCCTGGCCCCCAGACCCACTGCCGCTGTCGGTGAGAAAACAGAGCAGGCGACAGGCTTGACCCGGCCCGTGCCACCCTCCGGCCCCGTGAGCTTAGGCCCTTGCTGGTCCCTGCACCCGAAAGAGCCGAGTCCTCCCCGCCCACCCGCCTCCTGGGCCCTCCCTGGACACCGGCTGCATTTAATGCACCGCTGTGGGGTCCACAAGTCAGTCACAGTTTCACGTTCAGCAGGTCCCTGTCCACCCAGACGGGGTCAGCTCCTTGTGGCTGGCGCCACGTCTGCTGGCTGTCTGTCCCTACGTCTGCTGGCTGTCTGTCCCTACGTCTGCTGGCTGTCTGTCCCTGTGGTCAGGTTCTGCTGGGACAGTCGCACGGGTTATGTGCTGACTGCGGCCACTTTTACCCCACCGAGGCAGGGAGACGCCCGGCCCAGGGCCTCAAATGTCCACCATCTGACCTTTATTTTTTGAAACGCTTGCCCACCCTTGCCTTCGCCCACAAATCCAGAACTTTCCTCCAACAAACGGAGGCCCAGCCCAAGGCTGGGAGCCTCGTGCCTGGTGATTTCTGGTGAAGATTTCTCTCTCGGTGAATGAAGATCCCATTCATCCCTGGTCCCCGGGCCTCAGCATCCACTGGGAAGCAGGGGGATACCTGTAATGGCCTCTCCCCGTGACCTGGGCTTACAGCAGCTTGACACTCCACCCCCGCCCCGCCTGGCCCAGGTGGAGAAGCCTACCTTGTCCACGAAGTTCCCGTCCTGCTCTCCCTCACGGTTCAGGTCACAATCCAGGGCGATGTCTGCAGGGGAGGCAGTGGGTGAGTCTCCCCACGAGGTCCCCAGGAGCCCAGAACAGATCATGACTTCTGTGTTTGTAGCCCAGTGTCAGGGCCCGTCTGGGGCTGGACAGGGGTGTGGCCTCTCCCAGCAGGCACAGCCAGAGGTGGAGGCTCTGCAGCCTCCCTCCCCGGGCTGGGTAAGAGCCCACGGGGAAGATGAGGGGCAGGGCCACAGCCACCCCCTCCAGGAAGCCCTCCTGACTGCTCCCTCCCTGTATCCCCCAGCCCTCACAGTCTCGGGCACAGCCTGCACCGAGCCTGCATCACCAGGGGACACTCTTGGTTTGTGTGAAGCCATCTGTCTCGCCTCCTTGGGTTGGGACAGCGAGCCTGAACTCTGGTCAGGCTGACCAGGATGCCCATCAGCTCTGCCACCTTCCAATTGTGGGGCCTCTCGGAGCCTCTGCTTCAGCTGCGACCCACACACCCAGACCCACATCCCATCTTGACAGTTCTCCCTAGGAATTTGGGAGATCTTGCAGCGCCAGCGAAATGTTCCAGGGGCCTGAATCAATCTTTCTGCATCTGCAAAAATCTTCTTAGGCCAGGTGTGGTGGCTCACACCTGTAATCCCAGAGGCTCAGGAGGCTGAGGCAGGAGGATCGAAAGTTCAAAGCCAGCCTCAGCAACTTAGTGAGACCCTAAGCATCTCAGCAAGACCCTGTCTCTAAATAAAATATAAAAAAGGGCTGGGAGTGTGGCTAAGAGGTTAAGTACCCCTTAATCCTGGTACCAAGAAAAATCTTAGTTCTTAAGAGAGAAAGGGTGGGGATTTCAAATGATTTTTTGGTTTTTTTTGGTACCAGGGATTGAACTCGGGGGCACTCAACCACTGAGCCACATCCTCAGCCCTATTTTGTGTTTTATTTAGAGACAGATTGAATTGCTGAGTGCCTCACTGTTACTGAGGCTGGCTTTGAACTTGTGATCCTCCTGTCTCAGCCTCCTGAGCCGCTGGGATTACAGGCGTGCACCACCACACCCGGCTCAAATGATTTGTTTTTACCATATGACAAGATACTCGGGCACCAGGCCACCAGGGAATGAACCTCATAAACATAACCTGGGGCAGAAGGGGCCTAACCCAAAGGAACGCGTGAGAGACGATTCTATCCACAGAGTTCAGGCTGCAGATCCAGTCTATGTGATCTGCTAGGAACATTCAGGTGTAAAAACCATAAAGAAACACAAGGAAATATTATCACAAAACAGAGTTACCTTTAGAAGGAGGAAGTTGTGATCAGGGAGGGGTTGGTTGGGGGACTTCTGGGCGCTAGTTGTATTTTGTTTCTTGACGTGGGAATGGCCACTCCAGTGTTTGCTTTGTGATTGTTCATTTAATGTGTGTGCACATGTGCGTGCGTGCGTGCGTGCGTGCGTGCGTGCGTGCGTGTGTGTGTACATACATTATAAGCTTTATGAACTTTCTGCATGTTTTCCAATGAGTTGGGGGTCAGGGTCTGGGGCACATGCCCATCCCCACTCCTAACTAAGGGAAGGCAAATTTAAGCAACCGAGGGTATGGCGACCTGTCACACTGGCACAAAGAGAAGAGGCTGAGATTGCACCTGCTAGCCAGGAGGTCCCCATGCTGTTGCAGGCACCAAATGTGGCTCAGAGTTTTTGGAAAGCTATCTGGCCACATCTATCAAAATTTAAAGATGCATCCCCTTGAGCCCAGCCGCTCTACTTCTGCGAATGCTTCTGATGCATAAAACGTGCTCAACTTTCCTGCTAATTGCTGCCATGTGCAATTTTGTAGGCTATGGTGTGAGGTAGGGCTCCAAGCTTATCTGTTCCCCATGCTGACCTCTGAACCCTGGGTCTATCCCCAGGCTCTCTATTAGTTTATTAGTCTATGTACTTAACCTTGCACAAATTTCATATTGCCTCAAGTACTATAGCTTGGAAAATTCTTGATATCTGGTATTGTGAATTCTTCTACTTTTTCCTCAAAATTGTCTTGGTAATTCTTCTTTTTTTAAAATAATTTTTTTAGTTGTAGACGGGCACAATACCTTTGTTTTATTTATTTATTTTTTAATGTGGCCCTGAGGATTGAGCCCAGTGCCTCACCTGTGCTAGGCAAGCTCTCTACCACTGAGCCACAAGCCCAGCGCCTTGTCTTGGTAATTCTTGCTCTTTGTACTTCTTATGAATTTTAGGATCAGCTTTACACAATCCTATGAAAGGCTATTTTGAGATTTTGATGGGAACTGAAGGAGTTCAGACCATCTCATGCTGTCCCAGAGTTCTCAGGTCTGTGTGGCTTGTTTCACTTTTTTTTTCTCTTTGTTGCAGTTTTGTAACTTCCACTGACCTATTTTCAGGTTCACCAATTCTTTCTTCGGCTATATCCAGATTACTAAGAATTCATCAAAGGCATTTTTCATCTCCAGGACTGATTTGTGCATTTTCTTTGACTCATAATTTTCAGTTCCCTGTTGAAATCCCCCTCTGTTCCTACACAGGAATCCAAGTCACTTTCCACTCCCTGCCTGAGAGTTTCAGCATCTGAACCGCTTGCACTGAGCCTATGTATTAATCATCTCTCTGGGAGGATGCTGCCTTGGGAAACAGGAAGCCCCGATTTGGAGGGAGGGAGGTCTACTTTTAAGTGTATATTCTTGTACTGTTTGAATCTTCTGTACTTTTTTAATTTTAAAAAATACAACTAATTTTTTTAAGACATCCCTGGGTCGCTGTCATCCCTACCCACCTCCCTGCCCTTAGCCAAGACCCCTCGGCCTCACCCGCAGCAGAGCCCCCCACTTACCAACACAGGTGAGGTAGAGCACTGCGTAGGCCAGGGGCAGAGACTCCTGGCTGGAATGATAGGCGATCTGAACCTGGAGGGACAGAGGGGCTGGTCAGGCTGTGGGGAGAACACGGGGTCTCGGGAACCTTGGCCCCACCCGGCTCTTCCTTAGCCTGCTCCGAGTTACTCATTGTTCCGGGCCTGGGCTGGCCCGTCTGTGGGACGGAACTCTCTGGGGGAGTCTATGGAGACCCGGGGCCCAGTCCTACCAGCGACCCGCCGTGTGGTCTTGGCAAGCCCCCGCTCCACACTGGGTCTCAGTTTCACCATTTGTAACGAGGGGAGTTTGGAGCAGGCAGGTTTAAGAACAGTAAACCCTGGACGTAGCCTGGACTTGAGCCCAGCCCCTCTGGCCTCTGCGACCTTGGCCAAGGCCCTTCCCCTCTCAGAGCTGCCTCTGTTTTCTCATCTGTGAAGAGGGGACCATGAATGTCCACCCCAGAGGATCGTAGTGTATCCTGAGGAAGTGCCCAAGAAGCACCAGCTGTTGTCCTCGGCAGGCAGGTGGCCTCACGGGACGGTCAAGTGCAGGGCTCTGGACAGCCTGGGCTCGGGTCCTGGATCCGTCAGGGGTGAACACCTTGTGGGGGGGGTTACTGGCCTCACTTTTCCTAACAGCGGGATAGTAATCCCCGCCCCACAGCATGCACGGTGGGGACACTCGGGGGCTCCTCGTGCTGCCGGCTGGAGCGGCCCTGTCCCTGCTGAGCAGGACCCCGAGGCTGGTGATGATGTGGCTGGAGGCGGAGGCACCCAAGTCCTCTCCCGCCCGCCTCTCCTCGGGCCTCCCCCAGACGTGGGCTCCGCTCTCGGGCTCCGTGTTCTCAACTCAGCGGAGGGAGGAGATCTTGCCCAGGTCCCCGACCCGCTCAGTCCTGAGAGCTCCTAAATCCTGCCGTGACTGATCCCCGTTGCCAGGTGGGGTCAGGAGGGGGACCCTGGCCTTGCTCTGTCCTAGCAGCCCTGGGGCCAAGGAGCTCAGGGTGGGGAGGCAGCCCCAGAGCCCTGTTCTGCAGGGCACCTCCACAGGCTGCCCGGTCCTCCCGTGCTGCTCGGGGCTCCTGCCCTGCCCCTCGCTGACTCTGCTGCTCACTAGCAGGTGGGACTTCAGGGACCCACAGCCCTTGGCCTCGGTGTCTCCATCTGCAACGTGGGTTCAGTGAGCTCTGGCCCATGTGCCCCACGGAGCTGCAGCACGGGTGGGAGCAGAGAGGGGACTGAGGCCACCTGCCACCTGCGCTGGTCTAGTCCTCCTGCCCGTTAGCTGTGTGGCCCTGAAGAGTTGCTCTCAGTCCCTGTGAAAGGGGGACCAGCCCCTCGTGTCACCTGCTGGTGTGTGGGTGGATGGCATCCGCCGCCCGGAGCCTGACATGGTCAGTCTCCATGGAGGGGCCCACGTCTCCACCCCCCCGAGTCCTGGGCCCCATTAGCCCTCCGAGGGGTGCCAAGCTCAAAGGTCACCCATTTCTTCCATGTTTTAAATGCCCCCCGCCCCGTCCTGAAAATGGGTCAGGAAGAGAGTGTCTTTGGGGAAACTGAGGCACCTTAGGGAACTGTCACCTAGGCAGGGCGTCTCCTTGGGCAGGAGTGTCCCTCCCTCCCAGCTTGCCCTTCTTCATTCGGAGCAGCCCCCGAGCCAACCCGCGGGCCACGGTGGGGACTGTCACACTGTCGTTCTCGAGTTGCAGAGCTGGGACTCGAACCCCAGCCTCTGGCCCCAGGGCCAGGCGCTCGCCCACACTGGGGAGAGGGGATGCGGGCCTGTGGGTGGGTGGCCGCCTCTGCCCCTCCCCCGGGCAGGGCCCCACTCACGTGACTGTCGTTGAGGTCGTTGCTGGGGGAGTTCATGACCACCACGATCTCCAGGCCCTCGTCGAAGTGCCACCGCCTGGTGTCCGCGCGCTCCCGGCTCCGCTCGAGGGTGGGACAGATGTAGACGTCCACGCCGGGGGTCCCGTACACCTCGAACATCTCTGTGCCCTCGGGGACCGACCTGGGAGAGCAGGGCCGAGGACATGCGGAGGGCAGCCCTTGTTCAGGTGCTGCCCGCCGCCTCCAGACCACCCTGGGCCGTGGGACCCTACAAGCAGCTCCCAGGCGTGGAGGCCCCGCCCACAAGACCCCGCCAGCACTCCTCTCCCCTCCAGGGTGTCTCTGCCTCCAACAGAACTGCGAACGCCTCCCCAGTCAGGACCCAACTGCCTGCTCCAGGCCCACCTCTGCCCAGCGGTCTCCGGGGGCTCTGCATCTCTAGCTTAGGAAAGCATTCTCACCCCAGGTCCCCGACACGGCTCCTTAGCAGGCCATTAAGTGTCCTTGGGGTCTCCCTTAGGAAGAGATTAGTTTTTGCTGAGTGTGTGCTGTGTGTGTGTGAGAGAGCGAGCTTACACGCAAAGTGAGCAGAATCATGCCCATCTGATGAGGGAGGGAGGCCTCCTTCAGAGAGGTCTAGCAACAAGCTGAAGTCACACAGCATCACACGGCAAAGCCAAGCATGTACTTGCCTCTTTCTGACACTGTGCCCAGGCTGTCCCACAGCACTGCCATGTCCCCTGGGAAACTTGGCCAGATTGGATCAAACAACCAGGTGTTAATTATAGGTTTAAAAGCTCCATGATGCCATTGGTCCCTGGAATGGTGTCTCCCCATTCCTGCTTGGGAACCCTGCCTGAAAACCAGCCTGTCCATCCCTTGATTATGGGGTTCCTGCTCTGCACCCCGGCACTGTGGGCTGAAGCAGGTGCATGTACCACTCTCCCAATGGCCTCAGAGCCTTAGACCCCATGAGGGAGCTGAGGACTGGCATTGCCCAGGGCAGGTGGCTGCAGGCCTGCGTCTCGGTTCAGCGGTCACCACGTGGGGAGAGGCCCCTGTGGCTGAAGGGCTAGAAGGCCTCCTGGGTTTCAGTGGCCGACCCTGGAGGGGCCCTGGCTGCACACTGGCCCTATGGAGCGTCTTTGTGAGCTGTACCATTAGGTCTCTCAGGAGCTCTGGGAGCTGAGTGCTGCCGCTGCCTCCCATTTTACTGATGGGGAAACTGAGGGTAAGGAATCTGCCCAAGGTCATGAGGCCGGAAGGGCAGGCTGGGATCCAAACCCAGGCCACCTGGCTCCTGCAGCCACATCCTGCCCCACCAGGCTGGGCCCAGGAACAGCAATAATCATGACACCCGGGCCCGGCCGGCACACTTGCTGAGGACGCCCAGCTAAGCCTCCCCTACATCCGCTCCTGATCCTCCCTCTGAAGGGGCAGTTACGCCAGTCACCCCCGGGGAAACCGAGTCTCAGGCTGGGCCAATGCGTCCTGGCGTTCACACAGCTGCCCCACCCAGGCGACAGCCTCAGAGGAAAGAGCCCTTCCAGCCTCCTCCACCAGGGTGACTCTGACTTCTCACAGTGACTTTCTATAAAGAGAAGTAAACCAGGCCCAGCCGTGCTCCATCGGGCAGGCCCCGCCCCCGGGACGCAGGCCCCGCCCCCGGGACGCAGGCCCCGCCCCCGGGACGCAGGCCCCCGCCCCCGGGACGAAGGGGTGACACCCTGCTTCTCCTTCCATGCGCAGGGCTGCAGGATTCAGGAAGTGCAAACACAGACCGCCCCCTGAACTTGAATTTCAGATAAACAACAAATAATTGTCTTAGTATAAGTGTGGCCTATGCAGGTTTGGAGACATGTTTATACTAAAAACTGTTCATTGTTTATCTGGAGTTCCAACTTCTGTCACTTCTGGGGCTGGTGGTGCCGTCTGGCTGCTTTGCCCTGGGTGGGTGGGCCAGCCTCTGTCAGGGGACGTGGAGGAGCCGGGTAGAGAGTTTGGAGTCACAGAGAGATGGGGACAAAAAGGCATGGAGTGAGGCACAGGGGACAGCGTTTGCCCAGCACACAAGAGGCCCTGGGTTCCTTCCCCAGTGCTGCAAAATAATAATAATAATAATAATAATAATACTATTGGAGATGGAGAGTCAGAGACAGAGTCAGGAAGACAGACGAGGAGACAGACCCAGGAACATGTCAGCATCCCGGGACTCAGCTTTTTTATGGAACTCCTGACCCCAAGCTGTCTCTGGGGCTGGGGGCCCATGAGCTAGGGCTTAGGACCTTGCCGGTCTGAAAAGCCCCCAATGCCCAGGCCCCCGGGTCTGGGGCACTTCAGCCCAGCTCCCCAACACCTTCCTGGGCCGTCCCCTGGGAGGCGAGGGATCCCCAGATCCCAGTGAAGCTGGAGGCATCCCTGCCCGGGAGGGGCCCCAGGACAGTGGCCCAAGAGGGCCTACAACATCACGCAGGAGGCGAAGAGGCTGCCTCTGAGGCTGGGGAAAGGAGGGGCCCAGAAGAGAGGAGGAGGCGGCTCCCAGGGGACCCCCAGGTGACTCCCACTTGGCCAGGCTCAAGTGTGACAATCTTCAGGAAAGGCTCAGAACCGTGCTCCCGGGTAGGGAAGTCACCATGAGAGTAAGCAGGGCGCAGGAAACAGGTGGACGGAAGGAGGGGCGAGGCTGGGCAGCCGGGAAAGGCTGGTAGAGGAGCCCGCTCGGAGGTACCGAGGTCTCCGTCCTGCAGCCTCAGGTCAGGGGCAGAGAGACTCTGGCTGCGACGGGTTGGTCTCTGCTTCATCCCTATGTCACAGGGAGCCAGCGATGGTTCTTGGTCAGGCGAGGAAGCTGAGCCCGTTCAGGGGGAGGCAGTCTGGGTTTGGACCCCAGCCCTGGGGTACCCAGGCGGACAGCCTGGCTCAGTGCCTGGGTCTCTGGTGGGCTTGGGGCGCTGGGGAGATGGAAGGAGCCCCGGGTGCAAAAAGCACCTTGGATGAGTGACGGTCATGGCCTCATTTCACTGCCAGGGAATCTGAAGCCCAGACGTGACCAGAAGGCACCTTCCAGAGGCCCAGCCCTGAGCTCACGCCCCGTCCTGGACGCTGTGCATTGGAACCGTCACGTGGTGGCTGCCAGGAGGGGACCCCACGTCAGGTACAGGAGGAGCTGGATTTCCCATCCTGGGGGACAAGGGAAGCCTGCACAGCCTCCCTGGACACAGCTCTCCCTCAGGCCAGGCCTGAGCTGCCACGTGTGGCCGAGTCCTGCTGTAGACGGTGCCCCTGGCCCAGCCGAGGCCATCCAGCCGAGGATCATCCAAAGCCCGCCCAGCCCTGAGGATGGTGAAGGCAGCAGGCCACCAGCAGCCCCGTTGTGTCACGGACTCAGAACCAGCGCTACAACATGCAAGGCCCCAACAAGCCGGCAGAGCTGGTCCCCCTAAAGGTGGCTGACCTCTGACCCACCTTAGGGAAAAGCAGATTGGTGGCAGCAGCAGCAGCAGGGCTGCAGGTGGCTCGAAGCCAGGCTGTCACTGGACACCGTTCTGATGCTTGCTGAGGGAGCGCGGGGCTCAGGGTGCGCTGCCCCAGATAGGCTGGACCTTGGTCCCCCAGGGCAGATTCAGGCGGCTCAGCACAAGGCCACCCTCCTGGGAAGCGACCACCAGCTCTTCCTATCTGTCCCTTTCCCTGTGACAACCATGAGGTGACAGTGGGTGCAGGGAGCTCCCACAGCTGCATGGCCTGTGCACTATCATCCCCACTTTGCAGATGAGGAAACTGAGGCTCAGAGATGGCAGGTTATTTGCTCAAAGCCATACAGTGGATAAGTGACAGAGCCATAGACTCAGCCAGCTCTAGGGTCACTAGAAACCCAAACCCGTCCTCTCCCTTCATGGGCTCAGGGCCTCAGCTTCTAGAACAAAACCAAACACTTCAGGAGCTGGGAAACTGAGGGGGAAAGTCCCTGTGGTTGAACAGAGAAAGATGGACAAGATGTCAAATAAGATCCCCCGCCCGCAGGATGGCAGATTCCAGCGGGCTCTGCATCTCTCCCCAGTCAGCAAGGGTCCCAGGTCCCCTCCCCAGGCCAGCCTCACAGCAGAACCAGGTCCAGGAAACCTCTGTCCTCCTGATCCCATGCCCTGCACCCCACCCCGCTCTGCCCTGGGAATTGGTGGCCACACCAGGACTTCTCCCACGGCCCGAGCAGTTGAGAAGGTGGAAGACGCGCCGGCGCAGGGCCCGGCTCCAGATCAGCGCTCTTGCCTCAAACGTCCAGCGTGGACAGAGCCTGTCAGCTCCAGGATGGGGCTCAGAAGCCCCCGAGAGCAGAGCGCAGAACCCCCTGCTCAATGCCAACCCTTGGGGTGCCCCGGGAAACGGAGGCCCAGGGAGCCGCAGGAAGTCTTGCAAGATGACGCAGCCGAGCTGGCAGAACTGGGACCCAAACTCAGGGCTCTGGTCTGAGACAAGGACCAGCGTGGAGGGACAGAGGCGGGGACAGTGCAGGGGGCATGCGTGGCAGCAGGGTACGCGCTTCTCTACCCTGCGCTGTGTTCAGCAGGCCCGTCATGAGACCCGGAGGAAGCTCGAGAAGCCGAATTTTTGCACCAGATGAGACTGTCACCAGAGAAAAGCCTAAATAAACCCTCGGCTTCGCCTGCTCTTGCCGACTGAGTCGCTAATGCTGGAAGCCACACAGCTGGGCAGCAGGTCGTAACCACACCTCTGACGCGTGCGATACGACGCTAACCGTTGCCTAGGTTACTCCTCGGGGACCTGAAGGCTATTTTTGCCAAAAATCGGAGTCTTCACTGGGGTCCGCAGCTGCCTGACGGCACCTGGAGGGGAGCTCTGTCTTCATGTGACATCTGGCCCTTGGCTGCCTTCACTTTGGGGTCAGATTCCACTGGGCTCTGCAGGCACTGTGTCACCTACTCCAGCAGCCACAGCAGCCTGAGCCCCCGAACCCTCAGCTCTGTCCTGGGACCTGGGTGGAGCCAGAGGCCAGGATGTGGGCACAGGATGGTGGTGCCAGCCTCGAGGGTACAGGCGGACAGTGACCTTGGCCGTCTGGTGCAAGAAGAATCCCTTCTGGAACCGTGTCCCTGACCAGGGACCAGACCCTAGGCCGCCTCAGCAAGTCAGTCAAAGCTCCCTCTCCCTTGGTGCAGGGCCAGCCTGGCCCTGGATCAGTGCTGCCCGCTCCGCTGAAGCCCACATAAAGTCCCGCGGTACCTTCCTGCTCACTAGATGTTGTTCCTCCTGTCACCAAGTCCGAGGTCCTTAGTCCCCTCTCAGTTCCATTAGGCACGTTTCAGGTGACAGGAGCTGAGGGTGCTTCCCAGTGAGGGCGGTGGTTCTCGACCCTGGCCGCACAGTGATCCCTAATGAGTGCTGAGAAGAGCCCTCGATGCTGGGCCCTTGTGGGGAGGGGGCCAGGCTTTCCCACGCACAGGGGAACCCAGGGCCTCGCGTGGAAGCAGGTGCCCCGCCATGGGCCCCGCCACAGGTAGCTCAGGGCACTTTACCCTGAGCCACAACCACCATCCTTTACCATCATGGTCCTCATTTCTTATTTTGAGACAGGACCCCACTGAGGTGCCCAGGCTGCCCTTGAACTTGCAGGCCCCCTGACTCAGGCTCTTGAGACTGGGATCACAGGTGCGCGCCCCTGCATCCGGCCCAGCAGTTTATTTTCAAGGTCCCCGGGAGATTCGAACACACAGCCAGGGTGGAGCAACTCTGCTGGAGAAGAGGAGACTGACGGGCGTGGTCCCCAGGAGACACCTGCTAATGGAGGAGGGATCCCCCGGGGGGAAAGGCGGCAGCCTACTTCCTGCTCAGGACCCTCGGGATGTGGCTCAATGGGGGACTCCCTGCCTTCTGGCTTTTCCAAGTGCTGCTTCTCGGGGTCTTTCCAAGGTGAGCGAGGTGTATACCCCCAGGTCAAGGTTGCCCTTCTTGTCAGCGTCTGGGCTGGCATCCTGAAGGAGTTCAGGGACATCTGGTGGCCCCGGGACTGCTGTGTGTGCCGGGCCCTCTGCAGCCGTGCCGGTTGGACCCGACAGCTTGGGGTCTCTGAGAACACTCGGGGCTCCAGGGCCCTCGGAGCCAGGTACGGAGGGTCCCCAAGCCCCCCAGGTCCCCCAGGTGAGTCCCTGCACCTCTGTGACTCAGTTTCCCTGTCACGGATATTCTGAGCCATTTGGTTGGGCGACGTGGCTTTGAGCTTCACCTCTGCCCTAACTTACTCTGCAGTCCCTTCCTGCTCTGGCCTCAGTCTCTCCATCCAGAAAACGAAGGGTGCCTGGGACCCCAGAGGCTCCATCAGACCAGCCTGAGGACCAACTGCTCTCCAAGAAAGATCCCGAAGGTGACCAGCTCCGAGGGCCCTTCAGCCCCGCGAGCAGCCGCAACCGGACAGACTCCAAGAAGCACTTCCTGTGCTCCAGGAGTGCCCGGTGGAAATGCGTCCAGCCACCTGCCACCCCGTGGCTCTGGGCCCTGGGGGACTGCACCCGAGTCTCCTGGGATCTCTATGTTGCTGGTGAGACCCCTCCCCCTCCAGGACCGCATCTCAACGCGAAGCTGCAGCCTTGAGAAAGTGCCCGGAGAAGAGCGGCCAGCTCTCAAGGGCTGAAGCCCCAGCTGTGCCTCGCAGGGTAGGACGGGTCGGGCCACTGTCCCTCTAGCTGCCTCCCTGCATCTGTGAAAGGGAGACTGGACGTCTCCTTCCAGTTGCCCTGAGGGGTGAGCCAGCCGCCCTGGCGCAGGCTGCGTTTTACCCCCTCCCTTCCCAGGTCCCAGGTCCCTGACTCACTGCTCAGGAGCCAGGCCTGAGCCGGCTGCATCTCCTGGGGAGGCAGAGGACAGGGTGAATGGGGGACAGCGAGGCCCAGTGCCCGTCCGTCAAGGCTCCTCTTCCAGGAAGCCCTCCCTGACTGACCAGCCTCTTTTCTCCATTCCTCCTTCCCCCATGCGGCTCAGTGCTGTTCCAGAGCCACCTGGTGCCGTACCCAGGCTCAGGACAGAGCCCTGAAACCACAAGGATGTGGTGATGGTGTGACAGTCACCTCAGGCTAGTGTCCCCCAGAGGTTGGGCACTAACCACTCCCCACTCAGTCTTCCTACACGCTCTATGTAGTAAAGGCCAAACCGCTGGGTCCCCTCCTGGCCCTGCCACTCACTGGCTGCGTGACCCGTTCCCTCATCATAAGAAGGGGGTGACGATCATGCCACCCGTGGATGGCCCTGAGAGGGTAGAACACGGAGCCTGCGCCATGACTGGGCCTGGGGCCCGCTCACCCCCCAGGGCAACTGGAAGGAGCTGTTAAGCCCCCCTTCATGGGCGGCCTGAGAACTTGCTGGAGTCTGTGAAGCGCTGGGCCTCCGTCTCCGCGCTGATGATGGAACGCAGAGGCTCTGCGGGGACAAAGGACCTTTCCAAGACCAGACAGCTGGGATGTCTCGGACCCGAAGAGTGCCCAGGCTGAGCCCCCAGGCCCGGCAAACCCTCAGAGCCACCCCGGTGGCTCCCTTCCAAGACAGGAGTCCTCTCTGCGGCCCCTGCAGGAAGCCGGGGGGCCTCCCACAACCCCCAGGGCCGGAGGTATAGGAGGAAGCCCGCTGGGTGCCGCTGGCTGAGCGCTGCGGGGTCCCCAGCCCCTGGCACGCACCAGCCCCCAAGGAAACACTGATGGACGTGGGAGCGAGCCAACCAGAAGCTCCACCGGCCCCGGGTGGGCGGGGCACTGCAACTTAAGGATCGCAGTTTGAAGACCTGGAGTCTCTGCCCACCCCCACCCCGAGGCTGTCCCCCACACACGGCTTTCTGTGACTCCTCAGCATGGCCCACCTCGCTCAGGCTGCCCCAAGACCAGTGGCCTCTGCCTCCTCCAGGTTTCCTGGCACAGGTCAAATTGAAGACACCTCTGCCCGACGGGCACACGGCAGCTGGGGCAGTGAGTCACCCCCGTGGGCACGCAGCCCTGGGGCAGACAGTGGCGCCGGGCAGCAGGGATCTCGCCCCCCTCACCCTCCTCCTGGCCCCAGGAGCCACTGATTCCTCTTCCCACCCTCATGCCCCCGCCCCTCAACCAGGATTTAGCTCCTGGCGGCCAGCTGCCCACCCCATGTCCGGCTTCTCACCCTCGACGACCAACACTTTGGGACCATCTTGGCTTCCCACTAAATTCACTTGGATCTTTAAATTCTTAAGTCTGGGACACTGGTTCTCAAAGAGTGGGTGATTTGAACCAGGCATGGTGGTCACACCTGTAATCCCAGCTACTCAGGAGGCTGAGGCAGGAGGATCACAAATTTGAGGCCAGCCTGGACACCTTAGTGAGACCCTGACTCAAAATAAAAAAATAAAAATAAAAATGGCTGGGGATGTTGCTCAGTGGTAAAGCACCCCGGGTTCAATCCCCAGTACCAAAGAAAAGAAAAGAAACAACAGGTCATTTCACGCCCTAGGACCATTTGGTAATATCTGGAGACATTCTGGTTGTCACAAGTAAGGTGGGGTGTCTCTGGCCTCCAGAGGGAGGCCAAGGATACTGCTCAATGTCATACAAGGCACAGGACCCCCCCATGAGGACGAGGTGGACAGAAACCTGGCCTAAGGGGAGGCTGGGAGGCTGGGAGGCAGAAACGGTCACAGGGATCCACACCCTGCCCACCACAGGCATGCTGACTGTCTGTCCCCAGCTCAGCCTCAGAAACGAGACTCCTCAGAAGCCTAAGAAGCTGGCTCATGGGTGCTCCCTAGAGCCCAGCTCCTAAACCCCTACCCGGACCCTCCTTTCCTTCCTGGGAGAGAGAAACCCCAAGTCATGAGGTGCTAGACGGGCATGCAGTTGGGGCCTAATGCATGGGCGTTGAATGGCTGGAGGAAACCAGAACTGAAATCCCTCAAGTGTCAGGACAGCTGAGCAAGCCTGTGACAGGCTCCAAACCCTGGCTTTGCCACTTGTTACTGTGTGGCTTGAGCAAATGTTTCACCTTCTCTGGGCCTTTGCTTGTCAGCCAAGATTATGCTCACAATGAGCCTAGACCACAGGCTCATCGTCAGGGTGGAATTGCTGAGTTTAGCTCAAGAGTTAAACTCAAAGGGCCTGGCCAGCTCCAGAACACTGCCTGGAGCCGACGGGTGCCGCGGAGGTAGACACAGTCTTTAAAACACGGTTCCATGCTGCTTTCTCAGCCTCAAAAGCTAGGGGGTTATTGGCAAGGACACGCCTCTTCCTATCCGTGTGCCTGAGACAGACCCCCAGCCCCATCTACAGGATCTCTGGATGGGGAAAGTGCCCGGCAGCCTCCAAGTCCCCGGAAGCCTCCAAGTCCCCAAGAGCCTCCAAGTTCTCAGACCCAGCTCAGCCACTACCAGTCTCTTCTACTGAGCCTCAGCCTCCTGCAGTTGGAGTCCCCTGCTGGAACCTGAGCAAGCTTCCCTGATTGGCTGCTGTTCCAAGGCCAAGTCTGAGGAGTGGACAGCCAGGCCAGGCGGAAGCCTAGAGGAAGTTCTTCATAGCCCTGGAGAGGAAGACCCATGGGGTCAGAGCCAAGGACGCACAAATCCCTGGCCGTCGGGTCTTACCCATAAATGTCTACGACGGTCTCCACACCGGCCACGCACACGGCACTGGTGGGATGCTCCAGGGACACGCGCACAATCCTCTGCAGTGACATGCTGGCCTTGGACTGGGCTTAGGCCACCAAACCCAGCTCTGCCCTAGAGGCCCTTTGGGATGTGGTTTAAATGTCCCCGGCCCCGCCCTTCCAGCCCAGGATGCATGCTCATTGGTTCTGGTCCTGGAAGCCCAGCCTCTTTCCAGAGGCAAGCGGCTCTCGATTGGCTGGAAGGAACCCAGTATTTGCATATGAACCTGTTGCTTCCACCTGGGAGTTAATTCCTGGCTCAGAGGGGAGCAAGTCCCCACAAGTACCCGCCAGGGCCTTGGGTTGTGGGGGGCAGGGGAGGAGGACGGGCAGGAATGCGTGGTCTCCCTCTTGGCCCTGGCTCACCCCCGCACCCCTTTCTCTGAATTTTCAGAAATAAGGTTTAGGGGGGAGCTGCTCTACCCTGCTGGGGAAGCTGGTGGAAGTGCCGGCTCCAGGTCCCCTGCAGCCTCAGGCAGGAGGTCAGGGCTGCAGCCACACAGGGACCTTTTACAAGCCTCCCAGAGCATTTTGATGGTCTTGAGGAGGAAGCGCCGGCGTCTTTCATAAGAGCTTGGGTTTTGAGGCAGGAATATTTCAGCCCTGCCTCGGCCGCTTCCGGGCTGGATGACCTTGGACAAGCCTCACTTTTTCCATCTGAGAAATGGTTGTCGTGAGGCTGAAATGGGCCAATGCTGATAGAGCTCCCTGGGGACCCAGGCGCTATCTTACTACTGTTGTTAATATTAGATGCTCAAACCCCTGAAAGGGACAAGTGACGAGAATGAAAATCCTCTCCCACCAACGGGAGCTCAGAAGGTCAGAGCAGGAAGCCGAGGCCAGAGGGACACTGGGGCTCCTGGAACAGCAGGAGCAAGGGCCCTGGGAAGAGGGATCTTGGTCCAGATCCAGATCTAGGCTCCCGTCAAGTGGCCTGGGGTCTCCTGTCTCGCAGCCTCAGTTTCCTCATCTGCAGAAAATGCAGCTAATCACCATCCTGGCAGGGATAATGGCGGGGACCCGCCCTGCCTGGCGGAGGCTCTGAAGGTGCTGAATAGAGGTTTCCGTGCTCCTCCCTGGTGCTGCTGGCCGTCGGAGGCAGGGTGGGGACAAGGACCGCTGCCCAGAGTCCTCACTGGGACGTTTGCATCAGTCCAGGGACCTCGGCTGGGCCCTCAGGCTGTTGCCTCTATATCCCAGTTTCTCGAAGGGTGTTCTTACCAGGACAGCCACGGGCCCCTGGGCCCAGTGACAACTCACTTTATTTATCTGTAAAATGACTTGGTGGCCAACTCAGCTCTGAAAGAAGGATGAAGAGTTTGGAAAGACACCCCAGACGGTCTCCCTCACCTGCCTCTGAGCACAGTCAGGGAACAGCTAGAGAACCTGGTGGCCCCCCCCAGGGTGCTGGCCCACTGTGCTTGGGGACAGGAGCTGCCCAGAGCCCCATGTCTCCCTCTGGAAGCAGGTCCACTCCTTCATCTCCCCCCAGCTTCCAAAAACACATCTGTGGTTCGTTCAGACTTAAGTGCGCATGACTGACGGACGGGCCCCAAGCTAAAATAAAATTAGTGAGTGAGCGAGCACCCAGGGGTGTATCAGAGGCAGCAGCAGGTGCGGAAGTTGAGACGGATGATATTTTCAGCCTCCTGACATGAAACTGCTGAGGCGGGGCATTGTGGTGCCCTGTGCCCGGGGGACAGCCCTGTGGGGAATCTCCCCCTCTGCGGACAGGGTCCAGCCCGCCCGGCTGTCTTCAGCATCCCTGACAGATGGAGGAGGTGGCCAGGCAAGGACAGAGGAAGAGGTGGGACCCGCCCTTGGGACCCACCCTCTTCCAACAGCCATCTCAGCAGGGCAGGTGCCCCTGGTGACGGGCATGTGCCCAGCGTCCTGCTGAACCAGCCGCCTGCCTGGTGCTCACTCACCTGATGCAGGTGCTGACCCTGCGGCCAGCAGAGGCTGAGCCAGGAGCCGGCGGCAGGGTGGCCTCCCGGACACAGGCTCCCCACCCACACAACCCATCCTCCCCTGCCCAGAAATCAGGCCAAGGAGGCAGCCGGGTCACGAAATGCACGTTGACATTTTTATTGATCCGAGAGGTGACTGGCCACCCGAGCGTTCTTAGACCAGACACCAGGACCCCCAAGCCCTGGCAGCGACTCCAGAGCCCCACACTCAGCGTGGCTCCCGAGGCTCACCTCCCTGGGCTCCTCCCTCCTCCCTCCCTCCAGGGCTCTTTCCCAGGGACTCCTGACCCGGCCTCACACCCTCAGCCCTGAAGAGCTGCCCCTTCCTTCCTGGCTCAGCCTCAGCTGGTCACCATCACAGAAGAGCGTGCTCCGGTAGGAGCGGGAGCTTGCAGATGGGGCTCCACGGAACCTTCTGGAAGGGGAGGATCCAGGTTCCCACCCACCCACATTAGCCACGGCAGCTCCAGGTGCCTTTGTTCCCAAGGAGCTCCAGGCCACACGAGCCATGTGGCAGAAGGCCAGGCCCACAGCCCCCGGTCCTATGGCCGGTGGGGGCAGGAGGGCAGGCTGCCGGCTCCCTCCCGCCGCGCCTGCAGCCCAGCCGGCCCAGCCTGCCCCCACACGCCTGTGACCTCACCAGGGCTATTAGCCTCACATGGCGTCTTGGTCCTTCCTCCTGCCACAGGGGCTTACTCACTGGCAAAACCCAAGGCACATGCAGGGTCCCTGGTCACTGAGGGAGAGCGGGCGAGCCTTCCCCTCCCACTGCCCGCAGAGCGGAGGGGAATAATTAAGTCTATTAAAGGAAATTAAGCCGCACCCTCAGAGATAACCTCATGGTCCCCCACCCCCTGCCACATCTGGAACACCCAACTGCCTTCAGATTCAGAGTCCAAAATCCAAAGCCCAGGAGCCCCATGCCCCGGGCCCGAGATCGCTGCCCAGCCTCCTCTGCCACTCTGGCCTCAACCCCCTGCCCAGGCCTTCTTCACTGGCCTCCCCAGGCCTCACTTTGCCTTCCAGCACTTTGCAGCCGGAAGTGGCCTGCTCTCCTAATTAAAGGCTCTGGGCACAGTAACGAGCACCTTCTGAGGACGGAGTTGGGCATTAAAGAGTCTCTGTGGCTTGCTTTTGTTGTTATTGTTGTTTGTTTGTTTGTTTCACAGGCCCTGGCCACTGGGTTTTCCGGTCCCTGTCTGCCTACGTACACCTGCAGGGCGCTGGGGATCACAGCCTGGGTCCCCTGGGAAAGAGGACACTTTGGACCTCCCTTCCTGGTCTTGCATGAGCCAGAGGAGACTCAAAACCAGGGTCCTGGGGGCAGAGCCCGGGACATGTGGGCACAAAGCCACTCTGGTGCCCCAGGGAGGCGTCCGAGTAGAGGGGAGCACTCAGAGTGGCCGCCCGCCGAGGCCGTCGCAGCTCTTCTCCAGCATGCCGAGGCTGCCCGCCTTCTCCAGAACCTCTGGGGGCCGCGGCAGGGGGCTGGGGGGGAGGAGGCCGGTCCTCGGGCTGGTGGGTCTCTCCAGGGCCAGGAAGGGTGGTGTCCGCCCCTGAGGCTCCTGCCGCGGTGGCCAGCACCCTGGCAGGGCGGGGGGCGGCACAGAGGCTCCTCAGGGGACGCAGCGCTGCCTGGTCCTTATCGTCACCCTGGTGGCGTCCCCCCAGGAAGGCCGAGGGGGCCGCGGGGCGGGCTCAGGGCACCATGTGCCACCACTTGAAGGCGAAGGGCTGCCGGCGCACGTTGGTGCCGCAGTGGACCTCGCCGAGCAGCTTGTGGTAGGACAGGAAGTCGTCCACGAAGACGCAGTGCAGCCCCAGCGGCTCCAGCAGGGCGCGCACCTCCTCCTCCAGGCAGCAGCGGCCGTCGATGACCGGCCCGTAGGGCTTGGGGATGCCCAGGTACTGGCCCAGGACCACCATGTTCACCTGCAGGAGAGAGGGCAAGAGCGAGGCTGGGCGGCTGTGGAGGCTCCACGCGGGCCTCGAGCTCTGGCTGCTGCCGCCCACGCCCAGGGCTGCTGCTCCTGGACGGCATTCCCGGGCGCCAGGGCTGGGGCTGCCCGAGGACCTCTGCGGAGGCCAAGAAGAAACGGACGGCGGTTGGAGGGGAGCCCACAGGGCCCAGGGCCGTCGGCAGCGCACACGGTAAACGTGGCCATGGGTCACCCCTTCCTTCAAAACTGTCCTCCGTCTTTAAGAAACTGTCACATTAGTGTCCCTTGTTCTTGTTAGAAGGAGAGATTTTGCTGTCATCTGCCAGAAACAAACACAAAGCCACATGCCCGCGGGGTCACAGCCCTCATCGTGGGTGTGCTTGTGCAGTCGACAGCGGGCCCTGCGGTCCTTGGCAGCCTCGCGCGCCTTGTTACGTTCACTGAGCATCCTCTCTGTGCCCGATGTATCGCCGCTACATCTCACGGCCTCCCTCTGAGGCTCAGAGAGGTTAGGAAACACAATCCAGGCCACACAGCCAGAGAACAGGGAGACTAAACCTTGAACTTGAACTCGTACCAGAACTCACGCTCTTTACACCTTGCCAGAGTGAGGTCTCCTGTGCGGCTAAGGAATTGGGGGAAGGGGCTGGGAGCCCTTGGGGACACCGAGTTGATCTGCAGTGGCACCTCTGCTTCCCTTGGCTGTAGACCTGGCCTGGGGTCCTAATGTGGGGAAGGGAAGCCTCCCTGGTGCTGGATCATGGCCGCTCCTTAGGGGAGATCTCAGCTCTGCACGGATGGCAAAGGCCGCATGGGGCTGCCCCTGGTGTCCAGGGGTCCTGGACTCGCCCCTGAGTGTTGGGTGGGCTGCCCTGGACCCTGGGCCCTCACACTCCATGCCCCTCCCCCCAGGTCTGCCCTGCAGGGCCACGTGCATGGGGTCAGTCCCGTGGCCTTGGTCCTGAACTGCCTCAGTGACCGCTGATGGGCCAGGACGTGATGGGGTGGGTTGGGACAGGCAGGGGACAGAGGGCAGCTCGGGCTCCCAGCTTCTAGCAGAGCAGAGCCCGAGGGCTCCTTAGAGCTTCACGGAGGAGAAGGGGCAGCCACTCCCCGCTGGGGCTGCGTCAGGGAGCAGTAAGTCACATTCATACTCTGTTCTCTGTCCCCACGAGCCACATTTCCGTGTCCCCTGGTCACCTATGGCTCAGTGGCTACTGTCTTGCACCATGTAGACAGAGCATTGTGAGCGGCACGGAAGGTTCCAGAAGACAGCAGTGCCTTCAAGCACTGGGCCTCATGGAGGGGGATTTGGGGTTGTCGCGACCAAGGGGGCGCTGACTAGCATCAAGGGGGCAGAGGCCAGGATGCCCCTGAATCCGCCCTGTGCCCGGGGTGCACCAAGCCTGCAGCAGCCCAGTCGGCCACCAAGCTGGAGGGACAGACCGGCCCCGGAGGTCTTGGCCTCAGAGTGGGTCAGAAGCCCCTGGGGCCTCCCCACCTGCCTCCCGTCTGCACCCGGCCCCGGGATTCACTTCCATCCCTTGTCCCATGAGGGGGTCTCGAGCTGACCCTGCTGTGAGAGGAGGGTCTGCCTCCACCCCGGGGCCCACGTCCTCTCCCAGGTAATGGGCACTCTGGCCAGGCCTGCCCGATAGCATCGCTCAGCTCCCGCCTGGTGACACACAGGTGACATCACACCCGCTCATCTGCTCGTCAGCTGCCCAGGGAGTGAGTGCCAGGAGAGGCCACCGCCTGCCCCGCCTGCCAGCTCGGGAGCCCACTGGAGCCACGAGCAGGGTCCAGGGTGGAGGGAGGCTGGAGACAGACCCCGGAGCACCCCCTGGGGGAAACAGATGATCCAGGGTGGGGGCTGTCCTGGCCTCTGTCCACAGGTGCCAACAGCACCCCCACGTCCACCTGGGACCCTGGGACACGCAACCAGCTCAGGAGGGACCCCACGGTGCAGCCCGCGGGCTCTGCCCATGGCGCCTGTCCTCCACCCCAGCGCCCTGCAGGCCGGGGGACCCTCACCATGTCGGGGAAGAAGGCCTCGGCGCGGGTGCCCTGCAGGGAGAAGAGCTGGGGGATGTCCACGATGTCCGCCTCGGCCAGGCCCAGCTCCCGCTTCAGCACCTCGCGGTTCCAGTCGATGCACCTCTGGGGGCACAGACCGCCAGGACACGAGGGTCACTGCCCAGGGCCACCCAGCGCCACAGCCGCACGCAGCTCCGAGGGGCCCCGCGGACATTGCTGCCCAGTGACGGGGACCCCAGGGTGCACAAGGCCTGCCTGAGGTCACGGAGCTGGGGTCTGGATCTGGACCACGTCCTCGTCACATTAGCACCGTCTCCTGCCTGTGCTCAGCCTCAGCAGGTGACGGGAGAGCGAGGCCACCTCCGGGGAGGGCCAGCAGCCCCCGCCCCCACCCCCGTGCCCAGCGCAGCCCTGCGCCAGCCCCTGCCAGGCCCTGTGCCCTGCGCGATGGGCACTACCCAGGACAAGCCCTGCCCGGCCTGAGCCCTGGCCCCGCTTTCTGCACAGCTCCTGGGGCTCCCACCCACAGGACCCCACGGCTCCCACACCTCAGGCCCCAGACTCCTCGCCGCGGAGCCCCATCTGCTGCCAGGAAGTAGGTCACTTCCCAGAGCGGCACGACTGTGTCCCCAGAGCTCCTCCTCCCGCCTGAGGGCTCTCCCCCGCCCCCACCCCTTCCCTGCAGCCCCAGGACACGCAGAGGCCCAGCCCCCACCCCAGGGCCTCGGGGCAGCTCTCCTGGAGGAGGTGGCCGTCACCGTCACCTGTACGTAGAGGCTGTCACTCCTGAGGTGTCTGTCGGCCAGCATGTCATTGATGCTCCTCTTGGCCTGGTCTTTTAACCCTGCGAGGCAATGACAGGCCTCAGGAGCTCCTGGGCCCACAGGCCAGGGTGCCCCCACCAGCACCAGGGCCAGCAGCAGGTGCAGGAGGCCGGGAACCCCGGGGGCCGGCGGGGGTGGCAGGAGGACCCTTGGAAGGCCCTCGGGTCACGGGGCCCGTAATTACAGCCGGCTGCCCTCACGGACCGCCCACCACGCTCTGGGGGAGCCGTTAAGGTGACATTAATATTAATTTAATATCAATATGTAAACCCCCTGGGGAGGGGGTAATTACCACCCCCAAGGAAGAGAAGAGGAAACTGAGGGTTCAGAGCTCACCCCTGGCTGATCCCACAGCTGGCCAACGGCCCCAGGGCTGGTGACAAAAGGGCAGTGTCCCCAAGAGGTGACAGGAGCCACAGCACACTCACCCTCAAACTGGGCCGCCTCCCCATGGCCCTGGTCTCTCTTCTCTTGGAACAGTCTGAGGCAGGCGCTGGGGCTGGCCAGGAGCAGCCGGAAGCCCTGGGGCAGAGGGCAGGGGCTCAGGTGCAGGGGACCGTCGCCCAGACAGGCCCAGCTTGGGGGCCAGGCCGTGCATGGGGCTCCCTGCTCGTCTCCGTCCCTCCCACAGCCACCAAGGCAGCCTGCAAGGCCACAGCTCCCCCGCCCCCGGCCTCCACCTGCTGCTCTGGGGCCCAGTCCAGGCGGCTCCCCCAGGGACAGAGGGGGATCAGCACGCGCCTCCTGCGCCCGGGCCTCCCGCCACAGCCTCTCCCTGGGCTGGAACCACGGCCCCTGGGAGCCTGCCCTCCCCCCTCTGCAAGGCGGAGGAGCTCAGAGGTTAGGGTGGTCACCAGGGCCCACATCTGGATTGGAACCCCACTCTGCCGCCTGCAGACTGAGTGAGCTGGGTAAGTCCGGCCCCTCGGAGGCCCAGTCCCTTACCTGTAAAACGGGGGTAAGAGCACCTGCCTCCCGGGGCTTGCCGGAGGGCCACGTGCATTACAGTGTGTGGCGTATTTGGCACATAGTAGGGGCTCAGTAAGCTCCGCCAACTAGGATCAGTGCACTCCTGGCTCTTGGCTGAGGGTTTGGCTCTGAACGCACACTCGGTGTGAGAACGGGTGTGGGCGGTGAGCAGGTGAGTGCCCGAGGCTCTGGCCTCCTCCAGGAAGCCTCCCCTGATTAACACCGCCCTACCGAGATGGCCCGGAACTCACTCTGGACACAGGGCTGAGCTGGTTCCAGGTGGCTTTGCCCTGGGACGTCCCTGGGGTCAGGCTGGAGCAGAGGGGTCTCGGGGGAGGGGGTGGGACCCACCTTTTGGTCGGAAGTGGGCACGAAGCTCAGGAACTCGTCCACGTGGCCCACGGAGAGCCAGTCCGAGTAGAGCTGCACAGGCGCCTGCACCTGCTGGGCCCACAGGAAGTCACGCACCACCTTGGCCATCCGCCGCCCGACCGACCTGCCAGGGAGGGACAATGGGCAGTCACCCAACGAATGTCATCCAGGGTGCCTGTCCCCCCATACCTTCCTCGAGACCAGGAATGTGTCCCTTGGCTCAAAGGAGTCATCGCAGAGAGCTCCATCTAGTAAAGGAATGGAGACCCCATCCACAGCCCAGACTCAGAGAGGTTGACCTCCTACTCAGGGGACACACAGCTTTTGCTCAAAACATGACCAGATCTGATAAGCCCCTCCCTCAGTCCCAGGTTCCCAACGTGCAGGCCTGGGCGGCCGGGGCTTCGATTCTGCAGGGGTGGTGCCGGGGGGCCGGGGACTGAAGCCCACCACGCCTCACAGTCTTGGAGGATGTGGCTCAGGAATGTGGGTTTTTGATGACCATCTGACTGTAGGGTGCTCCAGAGCTTGGGAACCACTGCCTGGCCAGCGAGGGGCTTAGAGCAGGGGACGGTGGAGCCGGGCAGCACCCCCTGCTGCGGGAGATGATACTGTGCATGGAGGGACCCTGGTGTCCCCACTTCACAAACCAGCAAAGTTAGGCGCGCCTGTTACCCCGGGACGTCGTGTCGCCCTGGCCACACACACACACACACACACACACACACACACACACACACACACACATTTATTTGGATACTTTTTTCAATTTGCTTTCTGCGTCCTGCCCTTGCTCTCCTAGCTGAAGGTCACATCGTGGACAAGCTCCCAGGCCTGCACCCAATGGTGGCTCGACCCCAGACAAAGGGCAGAGGCCAGCCCTGCGCCCTCCACTGGCCAGCTGACGCCCTGTGACCTGTCCTCCTCAGTCCAGCCCTGGGAGGCATCAGACTTTGCCTCTGAGTCACCGTCAAAGCCGCCACCAGGGGGCGGAATTGCTTAAAGAATGCTCTGAGCGCAGGGCAGCGGGTGGAGACCGGGGGCTGCAGACTCCACCGGCTCCACTTTACAGATGGAGAAGCCGAGGCTCGGGAACGCGGAGTTCTGTGGGTTTGCTCGCGAACCCTCGTCACGGTCCTGCGCTACTTCTCCGTTAGGTGGGCTCCTGGCCGGCCTCTTCCTGCCAAGAGTGAACTTGGGCAGGCTCGATGCCGAGGCCCCAAGCCAGGGCAGGGACAGCTGCTAACCTTTGGTTTGGGAGCCAAGAGGAGCTGGTTCTGACTGGACCGTGAACATGCTGTGGGACCCTAGACAAGGTGAGCCTCGGGGTCCCATTTGCCCACCAAGGGTCTTGTTCTTGACCTTTAACCGCTCATGGGGTGGGGCACCGCCACACTGGACGCCCAGCCGGCACCCCTCCCTGTGCCCGGGAGCTCCAGGGTCCTGGCTCTGCTGGCTGGCGAGGGAGGCTGGCGAGGGAGGCTGGTGAGGAGGCTGGCGAGGGAGGCTGGCCGGGTGGGCAGGGAGGGTGTATGTGGGCGGCAGTGTGACAGAGACACGTAGGGACACAGGCCAGAGAGGGGGACACAGTCCTGGACTCCTCCGGAGAGCCTCCCCTTCCTGATCCTGTGTTCGCTGAGCCCTTCAGCCCTGACACCGGGTCCCCAGGCTGCTGAGGCAGGGACAGCGTCGTGAGGCCTCGGAGCCCAGGGCTGTGGCCGACGACTCTCCCTGAGTGGGGCCTGCCTGAGCCCTGCCTAGGGCGGACCTGTCCATCCCTGCCCTGCCGTCCACCGCTACCTCCACCGCTGCCTCCACCGCTGCCTCCCGCAGCTCCGGAGACCTAACTCTGGCCTCCAGGTCCCCGTGGGAGGTCCCTCTACCCTGTGGCGCCCTCTGCTCAGCTTGGCTCCGGCTCCAGGACTCATCCACGAGGCCGCTGCCCCAGACGTCCCTCTCTGGTCCCACGGGGTGTGGTCAGCCTCAGTGGCCTACAGACCCTCGAGGGCTGCTTCCTTGCCCAGCCTCTGCCCTGAGCATGGGAATTGTGGATTCTTGCACAAAGGGGGTCACTGGACTTGCTGGTCTGTAAGATGGGGACAGTGAGTCCCAGCTGTGTGAGGGTGGGGGGTGATCTGGGCAGAGCTTTATGGGACTGGCACAGAGTATGTGGCCAGGGACTTCCAACCCCAGACCATCGCTGGGGGATGGGGGGACAGCCAGGGATACCTCACACTCACAAGGTGCTAAGGGGAGGGTCTGTCCCCAGGGACGCTGACCAGGTAGCTGGAAGGGGTCACTGGGCTCTGAGGCGTGGAGGAGGAACACAGCGTTGGTTTGAAGTGTGTCCCTAGTGCCCTCAGCCCAGCCTGGCATCAGCCATCGTTTTAAGTGGATTAAGTGAGCACCTACACGGGCCTGGCACCACGGCAAGCCCCGGGCAGCGGACAGACCCCACCTCGAGGCTGGCGAGTGGCAAGGCCAGGACTCGCACCCAAGTCCCTCGGATCCCAGCGAGACCATCTGGAGGCCACAGCAAGACCATCTGGAGGCCTCTCAGCCCCAGGAGTGGGCAGGGTCCAGCAGGCACGGACAGTGTGAGTCACGGCAGGCTGAGCACCTCGCCCCTGCCACCCTCAGGCCCGCCCCCAGCCTGACTCAGGGCCAGAGACCCTCCCACACCTGGTCCAGGGCCCCGGGGCCACAGGGACACCCAGTGAGGCTGTGTGGCCTTCCCTGCTCTGCCTGCCTCCTCTGGGCCTGGCAGCGGCCAGCCAGGGCTCGGGGTCAAGGTGGACCTCACCCAGGCTCCATGCCATCCCCACAGATGGGACAGGGGCCCCTGGGCTGGTGGCGGGCACAGTCTCTGGGCAAAGCAGGGAACCCCAGGTACCCCCCTTGGCTCCCTGCAGGTGGGGTGCAGGCCCATGTGGCCCGACGTCACAGACGTGGTCACCTGTCGAGCTCTAAGCCCTGCTGACCTTGTTCCTGCCCCATCCCAGCTCTCCAGGTGGGCCTGCCCTGTCACTTGTCCCTGGTAGCCAGCCCACCACTCACCTGCAGTCACCTGCCCTGGGCACGGGTGACCTTGGGCCCTTCTGTGGCCAGGACGGCAGCTGTAATGGCTTCCGGAGGGGGAAGTCAACGGGTCCCTTCCCCTGCCTCAGAGCCCCGCCCTGGCTCATCCACTGATCCCAGAGAAGCTGGAAACCCGTCTTGTTTCGAGGCGAACTTTACGGGGGACACTAAGGGGCCCACGACTCAGGCGGCCCAGCTACCGCGGCCCGCGCTGCTTCCCCCTCGAGGTTCCGTGGAGACACCAGGCCTCGGAGCCCGGCCCAGGAGGGACGTCAAGGCCACCTCTCAGACTGAGGCGCGGGGTTGGCGAGAGGGGCTTGGTGGCCAGGCGCCCTGTCCCCAGGCCCCCCCTCCCCGCTGGCCTCTCACTTGGGGAAGCAGTCGCCAACGAGGATCCGGCCCAGGGGGTACTCCCGGCCGCCCACGGTGACGGGAGGGCTGACGTCCAGGTTGCCGAAGGAATCCAGGCCCGAGGGGCCGGCGTACAGGATCTCCCGGGTCACATATCCAAAGTCAGGACCCTAGGGCAGGACGAGCAAGACCCCGCCCAGCCAGGAGGGACCCGTTAGGACAGGAGGCCGGGCAGCGGGGAAGGAGGCCGGCCCTTCTCCCTGGACCTTCTCACCACGGAAGGCCCCCCACCCTGACAAGCCCTGCTCCACAGCACTGCGCCACCAAAGCCGGTCACCAAGGGCCACCAAAGTCACCAGGTGTCTGAGAACGGAGCAGCACGTGTCCAAAGAGTCACAGATCAAAGGCCCGGAGGGTCCCAGAGACAAGGAAGAAGATATCAGAACCGTCAGGGCGCCGAGGAGGGTGCCGCCCGGGGACCCCGCGCTCCGCACGTGACACCCGGAAGAGGAGAGGCTGAAAGCCCTCAATGTCCCCGTCACACGGGGAGAACAGCCAACGAGCCCCAAGGAGAGTCGAGGTCACCAGAGAGGAGAGGGGAGGACAGGAGGCCCCGCATCTGCAGGACCCGGGCGGCCCCACCCTCACGCCCACAGGCTGTCCCTGGTGGACGCACTGGTCACTGGCCCTGGGCAGGGGTGGGTGTCCCTGCTCTGTGCACCCATGGACTTTCTCCTGACGGCTCCCACCCGGGCCAGCACTGTCCCAGCAGCAGGCAGAGACAGGGGACCCCCTCAAAAGGCCGTGGAGCCCGGGGACGGACGGGGTGCAGGGGCCACAGCGGCAGGAGGCGGCCTGTCTGGTCTTGTCTACTGAGGCCACCCCTGACTCACCATACGGCCTTGGGCGAGGTCCCTAACCTCCCTGAGCCCCAGTTCCCTCATCTATCAAGACGGACAACATAGCAGGACTTATTAACGGCCCGAGTGCATTCACCGAGCTGGGCCCTGGCACGCTAGGAAACAGTGCCTGGAACTCGATACACGATGGCAGGTGCTGCTGCTGCCTCCTGTGCACAAAAGGTAGCCTAGTGCCTGGGGTGCGACAGGGGTTCAGAAGACATCTGAAGACAGACCCCAGCTCTTCGGAGCAAAGTCCTGGAGGATTCACCAGGGTGCGTGCCCTCCAAAACCCAGTCTGGTCTCCCCAGGGCCGCTCGCTCTGTTGGTTCACCCGCCAAATAAGCTCCTCACCCAGAAGGACTTTGGTGTTCCTCACAGATCCAGGATGGGGACGGGGACAGCCCGGCTGGTTCCCTGACCAAGCCTCCCGGGGACCCCAGGTTGCTGACAGCCCCCCTCTGCCCCCCTCTCCCCAGCCTCCGCCCCCGGGGCCACACGAGACCTGAGCAGGGTGTCCCCTGGGAGGCGTCCCCGGTCCCCGCTGGGCCACCCACCAGGATCTTCTTGGGGAAGTCCCGCAGGCCCCTGTTCCGGGGAGAGTCCAAGACCACGGGGAAGGACTTGTGAGGGGCCTCGACGTAGCCAAACTCCATCTCGTCCTGGGGGGGAGGCGCGGTGAGTCCCGGGACAGGGCAGCCCGGGCGGACCCGGGGCGGGACGGGCAGCCGGTCCTCCACGGGGCGAGGGCCCGGGACCCAGCAGCAGGAGGGGGCGGGGGCAGGCGCTGGCCGTGCACACAGGCCGTACCCCCCGGGTCCTGGCGCCCAGGGGGACGGGGCCCTTCCTGCAGGCGACCCCTGCCCACCTGGATCCAGCGGTCGTTCCGATTGTCCACCCGCGGGCAGATGACCAGCTTGCAGTTGGCTTTGGAGGCCAGGTGGGCCATGTCGTCCAGAAACTTCTTATTGGAGCCGTAAGCGTCCATCACACTGCAAGGGCCAGGGAGAGGGGGCGTCACAGTGACCGTGACCACGGCCTGGAGCCCTCACGTCCCTGCGGGGGAGCTTTGGACTTGACCCCTGCACCGGGGGGTGGCTGGGGCCATGGCAGAGGTGGGTGTGAGGGCAGGGCGGGGCCATGGAGCCCAGCGGCCGGCACCTGAACCAGCACAGGTGGCGGGGGCCCGTGACAGTGGCCCTGGCAGTGTCACAGGTGAAGGTAGAAGTGGGAGGCACCTGGCCCCCACCCTGCTCACACAGAGGCCTGGCCCAGGGGTCAGAGGGGGCCCCCAGGAACACCTGTGCGCACCTGGGCCAGGTGGGCAGAGCAATCCTGCTTGGCCACGCCCTCCCCGGCCCTGGGTCTGCGTCCAGCTCTGTGTGTCCTCTCCCCTGCTCCAACCCCAGGGCCCAGGGCGGCAGGCCCACCCCTCACCAAGGGCCCGCCCAGACTCAGAGCTGGCAGAAGGACCTGGGCCCCTGGGGGGTCCCTGGAGGCTGGGACTGATGTCCTGGGTGGCCCCGGGAGTCCCCCACGTCAGAGGGCCAGGGCTCCGTGGCCTCCAGCAGGACCTGGACCCGCTGCCCACACTAAGCCCCAAACAGGACGAGGTGGGCAGGGATGCGGCGGTCCCTACAGCTGACAGCCTGAGGCCGCCTGCCGTCCTGTGCCCGGCTGTCCTGCGGCTGACCTCCAGGACCCGTCCAGGTGGCGGGCAGCGGAGGTGGGGGACCGACCTGCACACGTAGAGCTCCAGAGGGGGCTGGGTGTTGGGGGTCATGATCCAGGGGGCCACGCGGAAGGCCACGGTGTCTGTGAAGAGGGGCGTCTCCGGCAGGGTCTGGGGGACAGGAGGACTCAGCAGCCCCGCAGGGAGCCGGACCCCAGGACCCCGAGCCGCCACGGCCCCCGCCCACCCCCCGCC